TCCCACCAAAGAATATGATATGGCAAAAGGCCTGGCCTTCCTTCAAATTCACATTTGCCCTGTGACCCAAGGGCACTCGTGGCAATGGTTGCAGTCTCCTTCCTACTTTCTATTAGCCAACAGAAAAGAAAGATTTCCTTCGAAATGTAATGTGTAAGAACGAGAGTTCACCTTTTGTGGATGTTCTGGTTGCTAGGGCGGATGATAAGATAGGCGGAGATGTGTCTAGGCGACCAGTTTATACTGGTTCTGTTGTGAATTTTCTTTCTAACTATAGTTGCAAGAGTAAGGTTGGCATTTTAAAGTCAATCATTATTAGCAATATGAGGATATTTGATAAAAGTTCCCCCGACTAAAAAGTCAGAATTCTTGGCACATTTAAGCTCGCTTGATGATAATATCTCTTTAATCGGGAATACAATCTGAGACGGCGACTATTTGGTCAAATTAGTCAAACTGCGGGCCTTTTGCAGCTCCTAACCTTGCCGACATGACTTCTTTTTCAAAAGGTAGGCGAGCAGGCGAGAAAGTAGGAGAGAAAAACAGTTCTCAAGGAATGCCTGATGCTTTCTTTACTTCTGCTTTGATTCAGAGATGAATACGACCGACTATCACGATTTTCACAATATGCAAGGCTCTCCATTTCGAAGGAACTGTTTGTTGGAAAGAATACGGGAATAGGTGGCCACTTCGTAAATCGATGGAGGATGATTGCCGCAGAGTGAAATCCTCGCCTTATCGTCTACGATTCCAATCAAACCGTACTAAGCTTTTGTTTGTCATGAGGCAGTCATCGTCAAAACAAAAAACCATCCTTTACTAAATAACGCAATTACATACTAAGCCAAGAGACAGAAATTAGTTTCTTACTCTGAAGCTGTGTCCCAAAACAGATAAAAGCTTAGCTCGAGCTCATATGAAGGGCAGGACAGGGAGTCAAAGACTACTTAGCCCAATTAAACAGTCTTAACTCGAGATGTATTCACCCTATTTCGTTTAAGCTAATGAAGGTCTGGTAGTAGAATTTTCCCACAATGATATGAGTAGAGTTGACGTTTCCATTAAATTACACATAGCCTCGCTTTCCCAAAAGTTGTTTTCATCCGGGGTGGACTGTAGTTTCCACCTCGCCAAGGTCTTATCAATATCCCCAGCGGGAGTCGAACTGCAACAGTTAAATATGTGAGCTTGACACGTTAACCACTCGGTCACATTGCCACGAGTGCCCTTGGGTCGCAGAGCAGATGTGAATTTCAAAGAAGAGCAGACCTTTTCCCATATCACATTCTTTGGTGGGATTGTCGATGAACCAAAAGTATTTTTGCTATACCAATCGACTACATTACTTATTTTTCGTTTGTAAGTAGAGTTTTGGGACTACCAGTAAACCAGTAATATGAGATATATTTCGTTTAAGCTAATGTGGACTGGTATATGAGTAGTGTTGACGTTTCGATTGAATTCTACTAAGCCTTGCGTTCCCAAAAGTTGTTCTCATCCAGGATGGACTGCAGTTTCGACCTCACATAGGTCTTATCAACACCCCCAGTGGGAGTCGAACCTCAAACTCGAATGTAATACTCATTCGCTTTCAGATGAGACCAATCCAAGAAATTCTTCTCCAATAATGTTTTGGTTATATATTGTGGCATGAATTTCCATTTCGGAGGAAAATACTTTTGTAAGTAATTCGTAAAATGTTCACACCGTAGATCAATGGAGAATTGTCACGGAGACGAGACTGCTGGATTGTGTGAAGGAGTACTCGGCTCAGTGTTTTTAAGAGCCTGTGCTAACCTTTCACCTGTGCTAGTGCAGATATTATTAGAGCAAGAATAGATATTTTACTAAATAACGCAACGATATACTAAACCAAAAGATAATTTTTTTAATTTCGCTGTTTAACACACAAACGACAGCTTAGTACGTGTTTATCAGTTTCACAGAACCGTAAGTAGATGCCTTCTTTCAGTTTATTGATAAGTTATTTCACCACTTCTCTCCAGTTAACTCCTATTTCGAATTAGAATTTGGGGTCATTCTAAAATTATATTTTTTGTGAAAATCCAAGAAATCAGTCCGTAATTCATATTTTGCCAACTACGGCGTCTAACTTCTTAATCGGGAGTAATCATTTGTTGGTTTCTCTTAATTTGTAATTATTTCCTTCGATTCTCGTGGGCGTGGCACTATACGAGGCTCTTCGTCTTCAACATTCGGCCTTGACTACTCAGACGATGAATCTTCCTTGGCTCAAATCTTTTATCGTTTAATTTCTTATCTTTTTCTCTCCCCCTTCTTTAGTTCACACAAATACACACATTTATGGGTATTTAGGATATGCCTCGCACACTGTACCGGCTTTACGTCGGGCTGTAAATGCCCATATTGTTAATTGTCTGGCCTGATGAATCAGGAATGCATTCAACATCGCTTGATTTAAATGTACTAAATGATGCGACTTTATTCGTGCTTACGCGCTTAATGTTTGCTGGTCTGTGTGCGTTTATGTATATATGTATACATGAATGGGAGGAGGTGGGCTACTTCTTCTGGCCAGGTAAATTACTATTTTCGTCTTTCAATGTTTGTGCGAGCCAATTCACACAATTGTTGGTTGAATCAAGCCTAATAGGGGGCGAGTGGAGAGGAGCAAAGCAAAGCAAAAGGTCCCATGTGTTGACCTCCGCCGGCTGGCTCGCCTGTGAATGTGAGCCATTTTTCTGGTATCGCTGACGTTTGTGCTTCCGCCGGTCATAGCGTTTGTCTCTTCCGCAATCGTATGCCGGGCCAGTGTGAGCTGCACGCGCTTGACAATTAAGATAAGCTAAAAGAAGCACGGACAGCCTGGCTCGTGGGTGGTGGCCGAGATGGTGGTGAGGTGGTTGGCTCGAACCAAAGGCCTTCAACTGGGCGAATGCGGACTGCCGACGCCAGTGGGAAGACAACATTAGGCGTAGACATTGACACCACAAGAGACAACGTTTTCATACAAACGGTGAGCGCATAGTTCAAGTGCCGCGGCTGCGGCGTAATTCGCTATTAAGGCATGGTGTCTTCTTCACTTTGAACGGTACCCGGGAGACATGAAAGGAATGCATTTGCATGAGGGCTTGTCGAAGACGACTCAGGCTAGACGAAGCAAAGACCATGGCTCGAGTCCCCAGCTGCGCTGATCATTGTCGGAGGGTGGGGTTGTGGACACGCCTACAAAAGGCAGACGTGAAATAGTGAGCGCGAACGAAGTGACATTTCTGCTCTGGGCAATTAGGCCTCGTTTGTCGAAGACAGCATCTCGAAATGTGCTGTACACGACCCCCAAGGTTGCCGAAATCACAGTCACAAGAAGGCGTGCCTCTACCGCAAGCGTGTCTCTTGCATCAAAACACAATTCATTGTCTGAAACCCGCTGACTGAATGGTCCAGCCGTATCGGCTCCAACCAGCTAAGTCCATGGGGGCCAGGAAAATGGGCGCATATTGGCAGCTTGTTGCGTCAGTTGACTTGTTAAAATGGTGGATCCAGTGAAACTGAATGAGGAAGATCGTGTTTCCCAAGTTCACACCGCTTCCGAGACAAGACACAAAGTCGTGCTGGCATGAAGGTTGTGTATGAGACAAAGGGGAATTAAAGTTTGAGTCTGGAGAGGGGGCAGTAGAGGGTTGGTCACGGCGGCAAGTACCAAGTCTCCAGATGTCAGATCAAGGATTGCCCACTGGTTGTCCTGCTGAGCTCAAGTGAAGCACTTCATGAACAAGCCCCGACAGCTCTTTAAAGAGGCAGTTTCTGACAGGAATTATAAGAATTCGTGTTGCATAAAGAGATGAAAGATGAATAGGTGAATTTAACCACACTCATATGAGTTTCCATTTACATTAACTTATTTTAGTTTTATAAATAGGTTCTCGAGACTACCAATAGATCAAATATACGAGATGTAGAAAGATAGAAATTGAATTTTCCCTATATAATATGAGTAAGCCTTAGGCTTGTTGTGAATTTCACATAGCATTGCTTCCCAAAAGTTATTCTCCTCCACGCTGAAATGGATTGCAGTTTCTACCTCGCGCATTTCTCATCATAACCTCTAGTGGGACTATAAGTCGGGTAATGCTAGCAGTCATTCATCACCTAAAATAAAATATGGTGAATACATATCTTATATATAATCAACCGGTAATCACGAAATGTGATGTGATTGTTGAGGTATTTGAGGTATCATAAAATGTATAAACCCTAGTTTGTCTAATGTGACTACTGATAAAATCTAAAACCTACTTATGAACGGAAAATAAGTAATGTAGTCGAATGCTATAACAAAAAGAAACTTGCTTAATCGACAATCTCACCACGGAATGTGATATGCAAAAAGGAATGATCCTTCTTGAATTTCACATTTTTCCCTTGACATAAAGACCCTCGTGGTGATGTGGCGTAGTGGTTAAAATATCAATATTATACGCTGTACTAATAGGGTTAGAGTCCCGCTGAATGTTCTGAGGAGGCCTAGGCAAAGTCAAAACTGCAGTCTATTTATTCCAAGGAAGCAAGCTTATAATAAATGAAATTTAAACCTAAGGTGTACATATAGAATTGTATGAAAAATCAACAACAAATTCTTTATCATCTTAAATGAAATAATGGGAGCATTTTTCACACCTTTTAAGCCATCCTCCTTCGGTCTCCGGTTAAACAAATTTACGAGTTCTTTCCAACCAACGTTTCCTTCGAAAGGAAAAGTCGGGTCACACTAAATCAAAGGACCCATTAGAAACTCAAATCTTATTCACGATTTCAATTGAGT